GGCAGTTATGGTGCCCTGGCCAGCAATGTTCACATTCCCATGAAAGAATTAAAAATGAACCTCTAAAGGGGAATCTGAGAAATACTTTAAGAAAAATTTGTAGTGCTGTAGGGAAGGGGACTGCCTATACTTGGATAGTTCTTTCAAGAGCGATGGCATAATTGGACTCTGATAGCGTATAGTAAAAGCATATAGTAAAAGCAAACAGCAAGGTTGTTATATAAGTGACCTGCAACGTAGGTGTATTGTTACTTGAACTGAAAACCTAACATAGAAGCCAAGCACCTCCGCATTCTGCACAGAGTCAAAAGCTAATGCGTTTATCAAGTGAAGGAGGATTAAGTGCTGGAGAAGTCTAGGGCAGGGATGCAGACTTAATCACGCAGGAAATCCAAAACTGGGAGCTACTGAAAAGGATTATCCTGGTAAATCCAATAGGGAATTCAGGAGAAAAATCTTTATCCCCAGAGTGGTGAAAACGTTGCACTCAATACTACATGGAGTGATTTGAGGTGAAAAGCATAGGTAAATTTAACAAACAGCGAGATAATTGGGGAGAAAAGAATGGAAAAATGTGCTGATAGTGAGATAACGTGGGGTGAGAGAACGATGGTGTGGAGCGATTGAATAGCCTGTTTCTGTGCTGTAAATATTTGGTAATTTTATATTTTCTTTGCTATGTTCACATTTCTAGTTGAAATCGCTGTAATTTCTTGTTCCAGTCTGTGAGAGGATCTGCTGCAATGAAGGAAATAGGAGAGAAAACAGGGGAGAATGAAGGGGGCGGACAGGTGAAATAAGAGCAGGGAGAAGCCTAATGCAGCGGGTTAAGTTACTGAAGTTCAAGGCAAGAACAAACCTTTAAGTTTGAAATTTCAGTTTTGAATTCATCTACTTGTACAAATAAATACTATATGAACCTTGTGCTTGCATGGGTTTCCTCCTACAGTCCAAAGATGTGCAGGTTAGGTTGGATTGGCCATGCTAAATTGCCCATAGTGTCCAGGGATGTGTAGGTTATGGTTGATTTAGCCATGGGAAATTCAGGGTTACAGGGATGGCGTAGAGGGAGGGAAGCTCTTCAAAGGGTCAGTATGGACTCAATGGGCCGAATGGGCTGCTTCCACCCTGTAGGCATTTTGTGAAATCTGTGACACCGTATGCTCATTGAACGTATGAGCCGTCTCCAAATCCATTGATCCCAAGGAACTACCTAAGAAGAGGATAGTTTATGAAATTTCAGGTGGAATTGGAACAAATGTTTGGAATGAAAAACTATTGCAAGTTAATGAGGAATGAGCAATGGAGTGGTACTCTTGCCGAGAGCCAGCATGGGCATGATTGGTGAAATGGCCTTCTATGCCGTGAGATTCAATTAATATTGGCACAGAGCCACCCAGATACCTAGATGGTAAATTGCAGCATGATGCATTGACAGGGATTTAACAAACTCTAGATGTATACCTAGGTAATCACAATGGCAAGGTAGTAGTGTGGGAACCGACAAGACAACTGATGAACATTTGCAAGAGATTCTGAATCCATGGTTGTTATCGAAGCTGTCCTGTATTATTTTTGCTGAAGTTAGTTTAATTCATTTTGTTTCAGCTGGAAGGCTGCAGAGAAGTATTTTCTGGATGCATTAGATAAAGTGAGAGCAATCGGAAATGAGGTAATGTATTTATTTCATATTTCCAGATAAAAACTTCCTTAATCTGGATTGCAGCAAGTCTTACCAAGTAGCTGAATGTAATATATTGTAATATGATAAAACAAAGATAAAACAAATTTACTGTACGTAGCTGAGGCCAGGCGCCAACTCTCTGACACCGCCTCCTAACGCTCCCTCGATCATGACCTCACCCTGACCACCAAAACACAAAAAATTACATATCACCCCACTAACCTCCATATCCAACGTATCATTCTCCGCCACCTACATTCCGACCCCACAACCAAAGATATATTTCTCTCCCCACCCCTATCTGCCTTTCGTAGGGACCACTCTCTCCGCGACTCCCTCATCCGCTCCACACTCCTCTCTAGCCCCACCACCCCTGGCACCTTACCCTGCAACCGCAGGAAGTGCTACATCTGCCCCTACACCTCCCTCCTCACATCCATCCAAGGCACCAAACAAACCTTTCACATCATTCAGAGGTTCACTTGCACGTCCGTCAATGTGGTCTATCGCATCCGCTGCTCCCGATGTGGCCTCCTCTACATCAGTGAGACCACGTGAAGGCTCGGAGACCGTTTTGTAGAGCACCTATGCTCTGTTCACGACAAATGACAACACCTTCCAGTAACAGACCATTTCAACTCTCTCTCCCACTCCTTGGGTGATATGTCCATCCTGGGCCTCCTCCAGTGTCACAATGATGCCACCCAGAAACTGGAGGAGCAGCAGCTCATGTTCCACCTTGGGACCCTACAATCCAATGACGTAAATGTGGACTTTACCAGTTTCAAAATCTTCCCCAGCCCAGCCTCATCCTATGTCCAACCTTTCATCTCATCCCCGCCTCCTTGACCTGACACAACCTGTCCATCTTCTTTCCCACCTATCTGCCCCTCCCACCTCACTGACTACCTGCACCCACCTACCACCATCCCACCTAGCTTCCCAGCCTCATCCCTCTTCTCTCTATTTATTTCTGAGCTCCCTTTCCCCTCCCCCATTTCTGAAGAAGGGTCCCAAACCGAAACATCAACTTTACTACTTCTCTGATGCTGCCTGGCCTGCTGTGTTCCTCCAGCTCCACACTCTGTTATCCCTGACTCCAGCATTGGCGGTTCTTACTGTCTCTACTGTGCAATGTTTGTTGTTTTATTTCTCTTTGATTTGAGAAGAATTTATTTTGAAGTGATAGAAGTGTATGAGTTTAGAACAGCAGCGTCCCCTTCAAGTTATAAGTAGGATATTTGCATCAACTTTGTATTATTTGCGTTTGGGCAGCACTGTGACTCAGTGGTTAGTACCGCTGCCTCACAGTACCAGGGACCTGGGTTTGATTCCATCCTCGGGCAACTGTCTATGTAGGTTTCCTCTGGGTGCTCCGGTTTCCTCCCACAAACCAAAGATGAGCAAAGTTAGTTGGATTAGCCATGGGAAATTGCCCATGATTGCCCATGGTGTCCAGTGATGTGCAGGCTTAGTGGATTAACCATGGGAAATGCAAGGTTACGGGGCTAAGGTAGGAGGTGGGCTGGGTTGGTGTAGACTCAATGGGCTGAATAGCCTGCTTCCACAGGGATTCTGTGGTTCAAGCTGACTGTTTAAACCACAATACTTCAGGAAGAGATTGAATATTTGTTCAGCTACAGGACAGTAATTCCGTTTGAAATACAATTTATTGCATGTGTTACTTTGAGTTTAACTCCATAGTGGATATGAACCTATGTTGCCAAAGAATTAGCCTTGGCTCTGGATAACCTGTCCTGTGATATTACCACTGTGTGCCATCACCTTCCCCCTGTTCTCCCCCCACCCCACCCTGCAGTTGTTGCCATTTTTGTCTCCTGCTTTGGTTTATTCCATTTTCCCACTGACTTTTCATATGAATGAAATAAACTTCTTCACTTACCATGATAAAGGGAAACCCAAAGACTTCTCATATGTCACATCAGCAAAAAGGTTTTGAAGCATATGACTGAAAAGTTGTATATTTAAATTAGCTGCTCCAAATATATTGAAATTTTTATTTCTCCACACCCCCTACCCACCAAACTCTGACTAAAATCTATTCTTTCTTTTTTCAAAGTTATTTCATCCAGATAGGTTTTTAATTTGAGATTGTGGAGCAATGCTTTCACTGTTTTATTAAGATTGCTTAATTTAAATAATTAGCAGTTTGTATGGTTGTTACAGGTACATGATTTAGTAATTAAAGCTTATTAAATTATTTGGGTGTATTCACTGACATCTCTGACATAGTAATCTTTGATTCTGCGGAGGAAGTATTGTCTGTATGCTGTGGGGATCTCCCGAGAATGGTTATGATAACTATATTGTTTGTGTTTAGCAGCTGGCACGGGTTGACATTAGATAATTTCTTGAGGCAACAGTAGAGAGGAAACAGACATCCAAGTCCTTGCTGGAGGGCTATAAGATGCAGCTGAAAGATCACTTGCAGTATTCTAAGAACATAGGAATCGGAAGAGAACATTAAGTTCCTCAAACTTGTTACACCATTCAGTTATGTCATGATTTGATCTTATCTTAAACTTCATTTACTTGCCTGGGTTCCTTTTAATGCTTAATTCCCAATAAAACTCTTACCAAAGTCGGTTTTCAAATTTTAATTGAGTGTCCTGCCTCCTCCTCCTCCCAATGACCCCCAAGCTTCAACCTGATCCTGTACAGTTAACGTAGACCATCGAATAAAGCCCAAGTGTCCTGACCAGTTTTTGGCTGAATCAACCTGTCCCTGCCTTGAGCATGTCTCAAATTTTCATTTTATGCTTTGTGAAAGCTGATAGCTCTCATATTAACTTTAATATACAAATAGGAGATCCTAGAGTTTTTCCATCGTTCACTTAAATCATGGCTGATGTCTCATACCTGTGAATCTCGTAATACCCTTGTGCAACACAAATCTATCAATCTCAGTTCTGAAATTTTCAAATGACTCCCACTCTGAATACCTATTTAGGAATGAATGAGACGTTTGGGCTAGTGGCGGGAGTTCCAGAATTTCTATTTCTCTTTGTGTGGAAAAGTACTTCCTGATATTACCCCGAATGACCTGACGTTTAATTTAGAGTTCTTCCCCTTCACCCTCAAAAAGAATGACAATTTATACCACACAGGAGAAAACCATTGGGTACAACAGTTTTCCAGTGCATTCTCCATGACATTGGTTGACAAGTCAAGGCAATCAGCAATCTCCTGTATTCATCACAGCAGGAAAGATTGTAATGGCTACATCACAGACGTTGTTTAGTGAAATAAAGAAATTCCCTTATTACAAAACTAAAGCATATTTTCCTCTTTCTTGTGTTGCTCCATGCGAATTTATTACTGGAATCAATGCAGACAAATGACCAATCAAATATGCAGTGTTTTCCCCCAGGTAACTAAATTACCACACCCATTTATTTTCAGGTTGCAATTCTGCAAGTCCTTTCTGCTTCACCGTCTCTGAATCAGATTAACACATTCCTATCATGCAGGATATTAGCAACTGTTCGCATTTGTTTTTGACAATGAAGTTGCAGAAAAATTTTCCAGCACTATCCTAATGTATACATGCATGAAATACTGTCACTCCTACCAGTAAGTCCCGAAACTGCTGGAAATAATCAGCAGGTCAGGCAGCATCAGCAGGAAGAGAATAACATTTCAGGTTGATGATGACCTTTCAGAGGACCTGTTGAGTATTTACAGCATTTTCTGTTTTTCTTTCTCTTACCCTATCTAACGGCCATGTTTCCTTGCCTTTTGCACCTTTTGTATTTGTGAGATCTACCGCATCATGGAATGTGCACGTTAGAGGAAACTGTCAAAATCCTAGGGTCACTGAAGTGATTTCTGCAGTTCCTAAAACTCTGAAACTCAAAGCTTGAGATCTAGTAACTGGTGACACTTGCTGCGGACATGATTATCCAGAAAATGTGAACTGAGATCACACGTAAAACCATTTGGTCTAGCAGTCAGAAAGCACTGACCTTTAAATTGCTAAAAGACTTAACACTGTGCTCAAAAGCTTAAAGGAACCTATGTTTGAATTATTAATCTGTAAAAATCTTAAACTGACTGCTGACAGACTAGAATGCTAAAATAGCAAAGTTCTGTCTGTCAATGTGAAGCACAATGAAAAATGAGTAGTTTATGAAAACAAACTAACATTGGCCTATTAACAACAATCCACTCACTTTGTGGCAATTCCATCACTTTTGAATTTCTTTCCATGTTCACTTGTGCTCTTTAAACGATCTCGTGAACCCTCTGCTCCCTGTCTTTCCATTTTTGTTTATTGTCCTGTCTCACTGCTTCGTCTCACTGCTTCATCTCACTGCCTACTCACTCTGCTCTCTCGATCAGACTTTTATAGGATTCAAATATTTCTCAAAGGCTGTGAACAAAATAGGATGAAAATTCAAAGGCCCAGGTTCAAGACTGAAGCACTGTTTCAATGGTCCTCTGATGAATCTGTTCTCTTTGTCATTATGTGAAGATAAATATCAATTGTTGCTTCATAGCTATTTTTATAGAAATGTTTTATATCAGTAAACACTTAGTGCAGTATTGTCAATACCCTCCTGTTACCTCTGTGTTTCACAATATTAATATCTCCTGATGTCTCATGCCATTATTATGAAAGCATGTTGTTCATGTTATTGGAATAATAATTTGGAGGCCTTGATATGAGTTGAAAACTCACCTCTGCTCCTTAGAAATTGAAGTTAATTATAAATCTGCAACAAAAGCTACTATCACTCATAGTGACCATGAGACTACTAAGTTTATATAAAAACTCTTCTGGTTCCTTCCTTTTAGGGAAGGAAATCCGATGTTCTTTGTTAGTCTTGTCTACATGTAAGTCCAAATCTACAGAATTGTGATTGATTCTTAAACTGTCTTCAGAAATATCCTAGCAAGACACTCATTTGTATTCAAGAAGGTGGCTCGCTGCTATATGTGATACTAACCTTGGAGATGTTGCTGAC